TGCCCATCTCCCCTCTCCCCCCCTCCACACCCATCAGTTCTCAGTTTGTTCTCCTCTTCTGTTACTTTATTTAACACCCCTGTGGGGATGAAGATTGTTCCCATTTTACAGAGGAAGAAACAGGCCCCCAGAAGTTCAGTAACAGGGTCACAGCTAGTAAGGGAATTGGGTCTGTAACAAAGAAGCCCGGTTTGGGAGCCCCCCCCCGCCCCATTTGACCTGTAGCCTGGACTGAGAAGGGGGAGTGGGCCAGAATGGAGGAGCCCCTGCACAGTGTCAAGGCCCCTGGCCTGCTTGTCAGGTTCCCTCTCCCAGCTCATAACCGCCCCCCCCCCCCCCCCCCCCCCCCCCCCCCCCCCCCTCCTCCCCCCCCCCCCGCCCCCCCCCCCACAACCACCCAGCGGAAAACCCCCCCACGGCGCTAACCCCCCCCCCGAGGACCCACCCCCCCACCGCCCACACCCCCCCCACCCCCAGCCTGGGGAGGCCCTCCCTGTGGTGCTGGAGCCCTGCCCGGTGACCCAGGCGCGTCCCCAGGACGCACACGCACGCGCACACACACACACACACACACACACACACGTGCGCGCGCGCGCCCAGCCACGGGGACGTGACCACCAACCCGGCCGGGCGTCCAGGCTGCACACAAGACAGTTGTGCAGAGACTTCACGTGAGCAGGAGCGGTGGGGGGGGGGGAGCGCATGGAACATGCTGACGGCCGGGAACAGACAGGGCGCAGGGAGCGCAACAGACCACACTTCCGGGGGGGGCGGGGGGCTCTGCGCTCCAGGGAGCTGACCGGCCGTTTACTTCCCTTTTAGTTTATCTTATTATTTTATCTTTAATTATCTTGTCTTCTTATTTTGTTTTAATTTATGTCAGTATTTTATTTTTATGTTCTTTTATTATTTTACTGCACCGGCCATTTTATTTCCCTTTTATCTTATTATTTTATTTTTACTTATCTTCTCTTCTCATTTTGTTTTTATGTCACTATTTTATTTTTATGTGCTTTTATTATTTTAGGTTTTTCAAAACAAAATTCTTAATATTTTTGACAGAGAGACAGAGTGTGAGGGGGGAGGGGCACCGAGACGGGGGACACAGAATCGGAAGCAGCTCCAGGCTCCGAGCCGTCAGCACAGAGCCCGACGCGGGGCTCGAACCCACGGACGGTGAGATCCTGACCTGAGCCTACGTCAGAGTCTTAACCAATTGAGCTACTCAGGTGCCCTATTTTACTTTACTTTTACTTATTTTTATTTTTGTTTTATTTTATTGTTTTATTTATTTTATGTTTACTTATTTGATTTTTGTTATTTATTCAATTTTATCCTTATTTGATTTTATTATTTTATTTTCACTTATTTTATTATTTGACATTTTCATTTTATCATTTCATTTTTACTTTAAGTTTTTTACTATTTATTTTTACTTTTTTAATTTTCTGATTATTTTTTATTGTTTATTATTTTACTTACTTTCGTTTTATTTTTCCTGAAAATTATTATCTGATTGGATTTGGTTTTGAAATTTGTATTTGATTATTTTTTATTTCATTTCATTATTTTATTATCTGTTTTTATTTCATTGTATGATTTCCGATGGAAATGACCCTGAGCGGACAGATCCGACATCCTGTCTGGGTCACCAAGGCAGGAGCCCTTTGGTGAGCTTCTAGCACATTCTCGAGGCTTCCGGAAGGCCGCCCATGCGGGGCCATCTAGTCTTCAAAGCCCCGGACCTTCTCTGCTGTTGTGCGCGATGCCGTCTTCACCCGCCGGCGTCTAGGGCGGCACCGGGGACGCACCGCTGACCCTGGGTCACTCCGGGCCCCTCCGTCTCAGGGACGCAGCCCACGCTCCCCAGGCTGCTGTGATTTCCGTGCGCATAATTGACACGCCTGCATAGGATTCAAACGCGGTTTCTTCCTTCGACCCGAATTTCAAGGGACCCCCACCCGCGTTCCATGACCTGCATCTGCTGTGACGTCCACGCAGTTATTTACGTCTCCGTGTTGGATTGAGTCGGTGATTTCGCGCATTCTGTTGTGCGTTCTTTCACAAAGTGCCAACGACACAACTTCGTTCATCTGTGTGCATCCATTCGGTGCCTTTATGAAAAGATCCCATTTGGGGGCGCCCGGGGGGCTCAGTCGGCTAAGTGTCCAACACGCGCTCAGGTCATGATCTCAGGGTTCGTGGGCTCGAGCCCCGCGTCGGAGCCCGGAGCTGCTTCGGATTCTGCGTCCCCGTCTCTCTGAGACGCCCCCGTGTCTGTCTCTCAAAAATAAAGATTTTTAAAAGGTGCAGAAGGGGCGCCTGGGTGTCTTAGTCGGTTGAGCGTCCGACTTTCGCTCAGGTCATGATCTCACGGTTCGTGGGTTCGAGCCCCGCGTCGGGCTCTGTGCTGACTGCCAGCTCAGAGCCTGGAGCCTGTTTCAGTCTGTGACTCCCTCTCTCTCTGACCCTCCCCTGCTCACACTGTCTCTCTCTCTCTCCTGGAAATAAATAAAAAATATTAAAAAAAAAATAAAAGGTGAAGAAAAGGTGACACATGAACATTCTATTCATTCCTATGACATGTTTGGCTCCTGTGCCCCGCGCCCGCCCGTGTCCTGCCCTCTCTGATGCTCAGCGTCGCGCACGCAAAGCCCAGGACCGTGGCTGCGGCTCATCCGCGCCCCGGGCCCTCCCTGCGCCCCCCGCCCCCGGGGAGCCTGAGCGCACCCCTGCCGGGCGCGCCTCCCTGCGCCCCCTTTCACGAGTCTGAGCCCAGGCCACCTTCGCCAGCAGCCGCCTGTGTCCGGGTGTGGGCCGTGCGCAAAGCCCGCAGGGGACGCGCGGAGGGCGGTGCGCAGGCTGCGGGCCCCTCGGGACGCACGGAAGGCGCGCCCCGCGGTCGCCTTTGCGCGATGATCCCAGGAGCGGATCATCCGCGGAGCCGATGACTCTCCCCATGAGATCGGGGAGGGGGGGGGTCCGCCAGGGGCTGGAAGTCAAGGTCAAGGTCGCTGCTGCCCTTTCGGGGGCGGAGCCGGGACGGCCCCGCACAGTTTCCTGCCGGAAACCGTGCCAGAAGGACAAGGGCGCAAGCGTGAAAGTGAACCGCATGTGCGCGGACAGGAGTTCTTTAAAAACGGACGGAGGCGGGGACGACTGGGGGGGCCAGTCGGTGCAGCGTCCGACTGCTCACGGCTCGTGGGTTCGAGCTGCGCTCTGCGCTCACAGCTCGGACGCCGGAGCGGCTTCGGGTTCTGTCTCCGGCTCACTCCCTGCCCCTCCCCTGCGTGTGCTCTGTCTCTCTCAAAAATAAATAGCTAGACATTAAAAAAAAAATGGACCCACGCTAATGGCTTTCTTTTGGGGGGAAGGACAAAAATCCTCTCAAGTTCACTGGTGGTGACACTCACCACGCTCGACTATAGCCCAAGACGCTGGACTGTACACTTCAAAGGGGCAGGGGCAGGTGCAAAGGCCCTGGGGCAGAGTGTGTGTGACCTGTTCCCAGAAGATCACAGAAGCAGGGGAAGGTACAAAGGCCCTGAGGCATCAGCATGTGTGACTCGTTCAGAAAAGATCAAACGGGCAGGGGAAGGTGCAATGGTCCTCGGGCTACAGCGTGTGCGACTTGTTCACAGAAGAGCAAAAGAACAGAGGTAGGTGCAAAGGCCCTGGGGCTGCAGCGTGTGTGGTCTGTTCAGAGAAGAGCAAAACAGCAGCAGGAGAGGAGCGGGAGCGAGCAGGAGGGAGGGGGGCGGGGGGCGGGGGGCGGGCCCCAGCCCCGCAGAGCTGAGGCGGGCGGTGCACGGTTGCCCGCAGACACCTCCCTGCCGCGCACCTCCTTCCGGGACGGTCATCACAGCCTCCGGTTCACCCCCGCGGCCTCCCGACCGCACAGGGTCCGCCCGGGTGCCCGCGGGCCTGGACCACCGCCCACGCACCTGAGCTCTGGGTGCGGGAGGGTCCGCGTGCTCAGAGGGGCTCGCGCGGGAAAGGGCAACCCTCCGGTGTGGGGGGCGAGGGGCCAAGCGGCTGGCAAGGGGTCAGGCCAGGCGCGCAGGGGCTCGGGAAGGTCACTGCAAGGGCGCGCGGGGAGGTCACCCCAGGGCTCGCCGGGACTCACGGAGGTCAGCCCTAGGGGTGCGCACGGAGGTCATCGTACGGGCGCACGCGGAGGTCACCCCAGGGCGCACGCGGAGGTCACCCCAGGGCACGCCGGGACAGACTGAGGTCAGCCCAGGGGTGCTCACAGAAGTCACCGCAGGGACGCGGGGGGAGGTCACCCCAGGGCGCGCCGGGACTCACGGAGGTCAGCCCCAGGGGTGCGCGCGGAGGTGACCGCAGGGGCTCATGGGGAGGTCATCCAGGGCGCGCCGGGACAGACGGAGGTCAGTCCTAGGGGTGCGCACGGAGGTCACCGCAGGGGCGTGCGGAGATGTCACCCCAGGGCGCACGCGGAGGTCACCCCAGGGCGCTCCCGCCTCAGCGACTTGGAGGCGCCGGTGTCAGGGCTGCGGCCACTGGAGGAACAGCGCAGAGGCGGGGCTGGGGTTCGTGGACGACGGACAGACGCGGACTCGTCACGGTCCTGGGGCCTGGACTGCGCACACCCAGGGGCTCGCGGACCCCGGGTCTGGCGACGACCCGCTTCCTGATTCGAGAACGGCTGCCTATTCGCGCCCTCGCGCAGCAGAGGGGCCGGAGGCCGTCTGGGGTGTCCCAGGGACACTAATCCCATTCCTGGGAGCTGTACCCTCCTGCGCTGCTCCCCCCCCCCCCCGACCACCACCAGCTTCGGGGTCAGGACCCACGTACCAATCACGCAGCCAGGCACCCGCTGCTCTGCGGGAGGGGTGGGGGGTGATGCGAGCCTGGGGGCCGTGCCCGCCCCTGCCGGAGGCAGGGGGTGTGCACAGAAGCCGTGACACCCCCGCTACACACGGAGAAGGCTGCGGGGAGCGTCTACACCGCGCAGGATGCGGGCGGCCACCTGTTTGCACCAGAAGCCTGTGGGAGCGCGGGGTCGAAGGAGGAAGCGTGCGCATGCGCGGTGAGGCATCCACCGGACTTCCCCGAAAGCGTGGGAAGCACCGAGAGCCGGGTGAGAGGTGGAGGACCCGGCAGTGAGGCCGCACCCCTGGGGGGGTGACAGTGCGCCTTGGGGCGCCGGCATCAGCACCACCAGCCACCCTCCAGCCCGAGGGCCTCCCTGATCCCCGGACCCGCCGGGTGGGAGCCAGCACCCTAACTCCCCCCTCCGCCCACGCTGTCCCCCTCCACCTGCAGCGCTGAAGCGAGACCCCGGCCTGGGGCGTCTTCCGGACGTCGTTGCACATTTTTCCCCAAAAAGTTTATTTTGAGAGGGTGTGTGAGCAGGGGAGGGGCAGGAAGAGAATCCCAAGGAGGCCTCTGTGCCGTCAGCGCAGAGCCTGATGGGGGTCTTGATCCCAGAGAGATCGTGACCTGAGTGACCCCTAGAGTCTGACGCTTAACCCACTCAGACACGCAGGCGCCCCCCCACCCCCTTCCACACTTATCTAACCGTTTCCCAGAAATGCCAACAGCCCAGGTCATGATCTCACGGTTCGTGGGTTCGAGCCCCACATCGGGCTCTGTGCTGACAGCTCAGAGCCTGGAGCTGCTTCCAATTTTGTGTCTCCCTCTCTCTCTGACCCTCCCGTGATCACGCTGTCTCTCTCTAATTCCCCACAATGAGATCCTGATGTCGGTCAATTCGGAAGAGGCTCAGGGGAAAACGCTATAAATGACAGACAGAGACAGAGGGACACAATTGTGGGGTTGAAACACCCCGTTGATTCATGAGCGTCCATTCGCAGCCCCCACTGTCTGCAAAATAGTCACCTCCTCGCACAGGAAAAATCCAGGTTCTGCTGCAGATAAAATCTAATCAGTGAGCAGCATGTTTCACTTGATCTGCACTCTCGCGGATGACTGGTTATGTACTAATGACACAGGAAACAGATGTCTTAGGACAGAAGAGGAAGTACTGGTGACACGGAAAAGTCCCACCCCAAGTCCTGCAGGGGGCACACACGGCACGTCCCAGGGGAGCCCACACGTGTCCTTCACATCACCCCCATTCATCACTGGCCAACGGCCTCTCACAGCGAACAGGACATGTGTGGGCAAGTGGCTCAGAGCCGGGCACTCTGGTTCCAGATCCCCATTCCGGATCTGGGGTCTGCAGAAGAGCGTGCTACGTCACAGCAGAGTAGCACCGCCCTTCACCGTTGTCAAGTGCAGCACCTGGCCCAAAGGGCACACTATTGTGTCAAGCCACAACTCTTTTCGAATGCCCCTTGATGTGTGTGTGTGTGTCTGTGTGGCTAAGACTCCATCATAAACCATAATGGACACCTCTTCCCACCAGATCCCTTTGCTCCCCGTGTGCCCCCAGACTCTTCTGAACAAGTAAAATCACCAAAAGACTAAAGAAGGGTATGTCACGTGACTGAGGAGTCAGTTCTCCCCAATGAACTCATACACAACCAATAACAGAGTGAAAACACAAAGGGCAAAAACTGACAGGTCACCAAGGAGAAAGTGCTGCATACACCATTATGGTTGGAGACGTGAACAGCACCCCACTTTCAAGAACAGATGGGACCCAGCGGCCACAGGAGCAGTGAACGTGGAATGGCCTGGACTGCGCTGCGACCACTCCACCTCCTTGTAGCTCAGGGGTCAAACGTACATGAAATCAGTGGATGGAGCATTGCAAGTTCATATTCCTGAGTGTCTTCCCCAGGGATGGCCCGCTTTCCACAGGCCTGGGGCTGGCATTCTCCAGGTTTCTAGTGCGCTCCCCCGACCCCACCCGCATTTATATCCCATGCTCCCTGACGGCCACCTACCCGTTGCACCTACCCTGGTCTCCCCCAAACCTTTTGCCCAGTGCACCTGTTGGCAATGCAACGTTGACAGCTGTTGACATAAGTCCCCTTGTCAGCTGCTCCCTGCACCATGGGGTGACTTTGCCCCCAGGTTAGAGCCCGCCCACCTCTCCTTTCCAGGTTAGAAGTGACCCCGCATGTGCTTCCGTTTTGAACACACCACGTCTGTCCCCAGGACACAGCCCTCTGCCTGGAGCACAACAGGAACGGAACCCACCGCCCCGACCTCACGCAGAGACCTCCCACAACCTCAGAGACCCCCTGACCTCAGAGACGTGCCCACTCCCGGTGCCAGGACATTCTCAGAGCCACAGAGCGGGCAGACTTCAGCGCTGGGCTCCAGGGACCCCGCCAGGGCTCCTGGGAAGCGATTCCCAATCACTGGGCATTGGGGGACATCTTCAACCCCCGCCCTCGCCCCAGCGGATGAGGGACAAAAACCACTCCAGAGAAGGAGCTGTGCGAGTCGGCTGTGTCCGTCGGGGTCAGTCACAGAGTCGGTTGGGGCCAGTGACCGTGTCCATCAGGGTGACAGAGTCCGTTGGGCTTCGTCACTGTGCCCATCGGGGTGACAGTGCAGTGAGTTGTGCTAATTAAACACGGTCAGACAGACGGAGTTTGGAGTCTGAGTCCCAGCAGGGTCACAGACCCCTTCCTCCCTGTCACAACTCGAGGTGACAAAGAACCACTTTTACTTTAACTCGTTTCTAAAACCGGCCGGTAGCTGTAACAAGTGCTGAGCCGTGGATGGCTGCACCCTGAGGCGCGTCGTTTAATACCGACGGCTCTAAAGAAAACCAACGATTTCCATCGTTTTCGAATCGGTATCACAGACCAAACAGCTTGAACAAAACAAAGCAAGTAAGCAAAACATTAGTTCATTGGAAAAGAATTTTATTTCACAAAAAAATGCAAACTGGGATAAACACCATCTTTCCGAACGCAAACACGACAGCTATTTTTAAGTATTTCTTGAGCTTCACTTGGGGAAGCAAATGATTATAAAATTTAACAAGTTTGTAGCCTTGAATCTGTTGGAAACGTTCCAAGTAAAAATAATTTAGCAAAACAGCTTTTTAAAAAAACCACACACGCTAATTCTTGACTACAAATCAAAGCTTTTGACCAACCCTCTTTCCTTTTTTTTTTTTTTCTTTCTATGCTTAATCACCAGTCTGAGGCGCATGCCTGTGAAGGGAGCGCGGAGCGGGCGGCGCGGCCCCGCACCCACTGCCTACGCAGCACGTGACTCGGCGTCGCGGCCGCGAGGACGGCGCTGTCCCGTCGCCGAAGTTACAAACGAAAAGCTGGGGACACGCCAGCAGGGCGCGGCCACCTCGAGTTCGCAGGGCCTGAGGGGTCCGCGCTGTCCGAGCTCGACAGCTGGTCCCCGGGAGTCCCGGCGGAGGAGGCCCCGGGCCCGGCACTAACGGCGCTGTGGCCGCGCAATGGGGGCCGCCGCCGGCCGTCGCGCTTTCCTGACTCCGCGGGAAGTGGTGACGTTAAAGCTATCAGATCAACAGGTTTCGGGGAAAACTAAAGCTAGAGAGCGCGGCCCAGGCCACCGCCCGCAAAAGGCTCGAAGCGCGCGGCCCCGCTGGCCGTGCGCTGGCTCCGCGGAGGCTCCCCGGTCCCGATCTCCGCGGGAGGCGGGGGCGGCCTGTATTACCTGTTCCAGGCGCTGCGGTGCCGGCCGGGGGACCCCGAGCGCGAGCGCGAGCGGTCCCCGCGGCGGTGGCGGCTGCGCTTCCGGCCCGAGCCGCCCCTGCGGTCCCGGCTGCGCTCTGCGCGGCCGGAGCGCTCTCGGCTGTGGGACCTGCGCGGGCGCGCGTGGTCGTGGGCGGGGCTGGCGCTCCGCCGCGCGGGGCTGTCGTCCTGGCGCGCGTGCTTGCGGTGCCGCCGCCGCTCCTTGCGCGGGGTCCTCGCGTCCTCCCGGCTGCCCGCGCGCCGCGGCCGGCTGCGCTCCCGCTGGTGTCTGTCGTCGTCGCCGCGGGCCCCGACGGCCCGGCCGCGGCTCCCGCTCGGCTCGCGGTTGCACTTGTCTTGCTCGGAGCGCGCGTCCTTCCGGGGTGCAGCGGGCTCGCAGGCGGCGGGCGCGGCCTTGGGCGGCTGCTGGCTGTTGCGGATGCAGGCGAGCACGCCGGGGCACCTCTTCTCCGGGGAGCCGGCGGGGCCCGCGCCCGGGCCTTCCTGGCAGGGCGCGCCCTCGGCGACGCTGCCGTTGACGCCCCGGGGCGCCGCGTCCGCGTCCGGGCGCGGCGGGCTCCTCCTGGGGGGGCCGGGGGCCGGCGGGCCCCCCGGCGGGTGCAGCGCGGCGGCGCCCCCGCAGCCGGCCGACACGGTCTGCAGGATGTCCAGCACCGGCCGCAGCAGGTCAGCGTGCGTCGCCCCGAGCTCGTCGCGCGCCTGCGGGTCGTCGGGCTTCCGGCTCAGCAGGATGCTCAGCAGCCGCTCGCGCAGCTCGCGCTCCCGGCGCTGCAGCCCCAGCGCGCGCTCCTTCTCCTCCTCCACGCGCCGCAGCTCGGCCTCCTGCAGCCGCCGCCGCTCCTCCAGCCGCTGCAGCCGCAGCGCCTCCTCGCGGTGCTCCTGCTCTTGCAGCTTCGCGGCCTGCGGCACAAAGGGGAAGGCGCATGGGGCTCCGCGCCCGCCGGCTGGCGCCGCTCCGGGGCCCGGGGTGGGGGTGGGGGAGCCGGGTACGTGGCCCCGGCCGGGGTGCGCTCCCCCCGGGCGCCGAGGACGGCCCGGGGGAGCGGCGGGCGTGTCGGGCGGGGCCTGCCAGGCGGGGGCCAGCGGTCCCCAGCGGCAGGGAGCCGAGACTGCGGTGCGCACAGGCGCGCACACACGCCGCCGCGGCACGGGCGGGGCGCGGCCGGGGTGCGCGTCTTCAATATTCACCATGACACTAGAGCCGAGCGGGCCCGTCTCAGCGCGCCGGCCAGTCTCCTTCCAGGGGACTTAGCACAACTGTAATCAGACAACAGGTTATGCGGTCGCCCCGCGCCGGACTCAGCGGGGACACGCGGCCTGCCGGGGCGCAAGGAGGGCCCGGCGAGGTCCCCACGTGTCCCCGGCCCCCGGCCTCCGGGAGGAGCGGGAGGAACGAGGAGGCGCTCATCCGTGCGCACCGGCTGAGACCGCCCGGGTCCACGGCTGCGAGGAGGGACGGGGCCCAGCCAGGCTCTGCGGCCACTCGCCGCGGGGCCCGGTCCATCGCCAGGGTCGGCCCTCCCCCGCCCCCCGCCCCGCCCCGGCCGCTGGCCTCCGCGGTCCCAGGGGAGCCCCCCATCCACTGCCCCAGTCGCCGGCCTGTGTGGTCGCAGGGGAGCCGCGCCCCCCTCCCACCCCCCCCCGCCCCGGCAGCAGGAGAGCCACTAGGGCTGGGAGACCCTCCGCGCGCTCGGCGGCCCCTCACTCTGGGGAACACGCTGCGCCTCCGCCCGGCGGCTGTGAACGCGATTACACACAACATCGCGACAAAGTTCTCTGCGCTGAGAGCCGAGGACGCGTTGTGGCGCCTGGAACTCCGCGGCACCAGCTACCAGGTGGCAGCGTCACCGTCGGTGTTTTAGGACCCGACATCGCGTTGGGCCGTGACCAGCTGCCAGGAGGGTGGCAGCCACGCGCAGCAGTCCTGACGCGGCCGCCCGGGCCCGCGACGAGAGCCCGCTGCCCGCCTGCGACCCTCAGTCCTGTTCAGGAGCTCGCACCGCCGCCACTCCCTCCTCAGGAACACGGCCCCCAGTCCTCAACCCAAGTCAGGAGCGCAGCACCCGCGTAGCTTGGTCCTGCTCAGCGCCCCCCCCCCCCCCGCCCTGCTCAGCACGCGCGCCTCCACTCCCCTGTACCCTGGTCCCGCTCAGGAACACGGCCCCCATTCCTTGACCTGCTCAGGGCGCACTCCCGCCCCCATGATGCCCTGCTCAGCACGCACCCCTCCACTCCCCTGTACCTTGGTCCTGCTCAGGAACGTGGCCTCCATACCTTGACCCTGGTCAGGAAAGCGGCACACCCCCGCCTGGCACCCTGACCCTGCTCAGCGCAGGACCCCTGTAACCTGGCCCTGCTCAGTTCAAGCCCTCCCCGCACCGTGACCTGGCTCAGCGCCCCCTGCACCTTGGCCCTAGTCC